ATCACTATCAAAATCTGTGATATTAAACTGGAATGTATTTTAGAAATTAAAAGTTTTTCCTGTCAGCCACATGTATATCAGACTGTACTTGACATGCAATTTCCATTACTAACACATCCCAAAATAAAAGATCAAACTTGCATCTATAAAATTAACAAAAATCTTCCCCACTCCTTCTAGAGTTCCAGATTTAGTTCTCAATCTAGTGTTTACCCAGTAAGAGTAGACATTATAAAATTCATATTTGCTCGAGGCTTCAAAGGGCTGATACATGAGCAGCTGTACACATCTATCCCCTGGATTTCTACAGTTGTTATTGATTAATTTTGTCTGCAAGATAAATATTGACTTTTGCAGCTGTTGGTTCTTGCTTCAAACTCTGGGTAAAATACTGACAATTAAGGGTATTCACAGCATGGATAATTATGTACCTTCTACATGCTGATACAGTACTCGTATATGAGAAAGATATTTACAGATACAAGAGAATGACTTAAAAAAAGAACTGTGGCACATATATAGACCTGAAAGTGATTTAAGTGATCATGAGATTAGCAAGATCATAACAATGATCAATAGTCTTCCAAGATATACAGTGGACCCCCGGTTTACTATATTATTTCATTCCAGAAGTATGTTCAGGTGCCATTACTGAATGAATTTGTTCCCATAAGGAATATTGTGAATTAGATTAGTCCATTTCAGACCCCCAAACATACACGTACAAACGCACTTACATAAATACACTTACATAATTGGTCGCATTGGGAGCTGATCATAAACCGGGGGTCCACTGTATACATCATGAACATTAAAATGATATAAAATACTAAAATACCCTAAATCAGGTTTCAGTATTAGTTTGCTTTTATATTTGACATATATAATTAATACATTATAATATCAGGCTTAAATATGCTCTGAAAAATCAGCTGAAACTCACTCCCCTGAAAGTGGCAAGCATTGTACCACCAGACTCACTAATTGAAGGGTTAATTATATAATATAAAAGTTATGATACTCATTACTGACAGCACAAAGTTATTAGTTGAAATAAAGTATTACAGCATATTCATATGGTCAACAGTAAACCAACAGGGGATCAAACAGTGCCAGGAAAAATGGGAGGCAATCAGGTTCGATACAAGAAACCTTCAATTTAAATGACTTTGAAAATAAGGGGCAAAATTTGCTGGATTAACAGATTTTCGACCAATAGGCTAAGGCCTTGGTTACAAAATGTCCATTATTGTTACAATCACGGCAAAACAATTTCATCTTTTTCCATTTCCACCACATTTCACATTACTGGCCATCTCCCCTATTAGTCTGTAAAATAATGGTTGAATAAGCACAAAACTTAGCTAAATTTTATCTGTGTATAAATCAAACATTTAGCAAATATTCAAGAGAGAATGATCTTGAATTGCACTTCAAATTGAGCCTATCAATAATGTCCAGGTTTTACCCAAACCCTACAAGGGTTTGGGTAAAACCTGGACATACATTCATTTGATACATAAATTATACATACATTTATGTATGTGGTAGGTAAGTTTGGGGTGCCAGGTGTAAATGATAATGGGAGCCCTTTGATTGAACTTTGTATAGAAAGGGGTTTAGTTATAGGTAATACATATTTTAAGAAAAAGAGGATAAATAAGTATACACGATATGATGTAGGGCGAAATGACAGTAGTTTGTTGGATTATGTATTGGTAGATAAAAGACTGTTGAGTAGACTTCAGGATGTACATGTTTATAGAGGGGCCACAGATATATCAGATCACTTTCTAGTTGTAGCTACACTGAGAGTAAAAGGTAGATGGGATACAAGGAGAATAGAAGCATCAGGGAAGAGAGAGGTGAAGGTTTATAAACTAAAGAGGAGGCAGTTAGGGTAAGATATAAACAGCTATTGGAGGATAGTTGGGCTAATGAGAGCATAGGCAATGGGGTCGAAGAGGTATGGGGTAGGTTTAAAAATGTAGTGTTAGAGTGTTCAGCAGAAGTTTGTGGTTACAGGAAAGTGGGTGCAGGAGGGAAGAGGAGCGATTGGTGGAATGATGATGTAAAGAGAGTAGTAAGGGAGAAAAAGTTAGCATATGAGAAGTTTTTACAAAGTAGAAGTGATGCAAGGAGGGAAGAGTATATGGAGAAAAGAGAGAAGTTAAGAGAGTGGTGAAGCAATGTAAAAAGAGAGCAAATGAGAGAGTGGGTGAGATGTTATCAACAAATTTTTTGAAAATAAGAAAAAGTTTTGGAGTGAGATTAACAAGTTAAGAAAGCCTAGAGAACAAATGGATTTGTCAGTTAAAAATAGGAGAGGAGAGTTATTAAATGGAGAGTTAGAGGTATTGGGAAGATGGAAGGAATATTTTGAGGAATTGTTAAATGTTGATGAAGATAGGGAAGCTGTGATTTCGTGTATAGGGCAAGGAGGAATAACATCTTGTAGGAGTGAGGAAGAGCCAGTTGTGAGTGTGGGGAAGTTCGTGAGGCAGTAGGTAAAATGAAAGGGGGTAAGGCAGCCGGGATTGATGGGATAAAGATAGAAATGTTAAAAGCAGGTGGGGATATAGTTTTGGAGTGGTTGGTGCAATTATTTAATAAATGTATGGAAGAGGGTAAGGTACCTAGGGATTGACAGAGAGCATGCATAGTTCCTTTGTATAAAGGCAAAGGGGATAAAAGAGAGTGCAAAAATTATAGGGGGATAAGTCTGTTGAGTGTACCTGGTAAAGTGTATGGTAGAGTTATAATTGAAAGAATTAAGAGTAAGACAGAGAATAGGATAGCAGATGAACAAGGAGGCTTTAGGAAAGGTAGGGGGTGTGTGGACCGGGTTTGTTTACAGTGAAACATATAAGTGAACAGTATTTAGATAAGGCTAAAGAGGTCTTTGTGGCATTTATGGATTTGGAAAAGGCGTATGACAGGGTGGATAGGGGGGCAATGTGGCAGATGTTGCAAGTGTATGGTGTAGGAGGTAGGTTACTGAAAGCAGTTTAAGAGTTTTTACGAGGATAGTGAGGCCCAAGTTAGAGTATGTAGGGAAAGAGGGAAATTTTTTTCCCAGTAAAAGTAGGCCTTAGACAAGGATGTGTGATGTCACCGTGGTTGTTTAATATATTTATAGATGGGGTTGTAAGAGAAGTAGATGCGAGGGTCTTGGCAAGAGGCGTGGAGTTAAAAGATAAAGAATCACACACAAAGTGGGAGTTTGTCACAGCTGCTCTTTGCTGATGACACTGTGCTCTTGGGAGATTCTGAAGAGAAGTTGCAGAGATTGGTGGATGAATTTGGTAGGGTGTGCAAAAGAAGAAAATTAAAGGTGAATACAGGAAAGAGTAAGGTTATGAGGATAACAAAAAGATTAGGTGATGAAAGATTGAATATCAGATTGGAGGGAGAGAGTATGGAGGAGGTGAACGTATTCAGATATTTGGGAGTGGACGTGTCAGCGGATGGGTCTATGAAAGATGAGGTGAATCATAGAATTGATGGGGGGAAAAAAAAGTGAGTGGTGCACTTAGGAGTCTGTGGAGACAAAGAACTTTGTCCTTGGAGGCAAAGAGGGGGGAAAGTATGAGAGTATAGTTTTACCAACGCTCTTATATGGGTGTGAAGCGTGGGTGATGAATGTTGCAGCGAGGAGAAGGCTGGAGGCAGTGGAGATGTCATGTCTGAGGGCAATGTGTGGTGTGAATATAATGCAGAGAATTCGTAGTTTGGAAGTTAGGAGGAGGTGCGGGATTACCAAAACTGTTGTCCAGAGGGCTGAGGAAGGGTTGTTGAGGTGGTTCGGACATGTAGAGAGAATGGAGCGAAACAGAATGACTTCAAGAGTGTATCAGTCTGTAGTGGAAGGAAGGCGGGGTAGGGGTCGGCCTAGGAAGGGTTGGAGGGAGGGGGTAAAGGAGGTTTTGTGTGCGAGGGGCTTGGACTTCCAGCAGGCATGCGTGAGCGTGTTTGATAGGAGTGAATGGAGACAAATGGTTTTTAATACTTGACGTGCTTTTGGAGTGTGAGCAAAGTAACATTTATGAAGGGATTCAGGGAAACCGGCAGGCCGGACTTGAGTCCTGGAGATGGGAAGTACAGTGCCTGCACTCTGAAGGAGGGGTGTTAATGTTGCAGTTTTAAACTGTAGTTTAAAGCACCCTTCTGGCAAGACAGTGATGGAGTGAATGATGGTGAAAGTTTTTCTTTTTCGGGCCACCCTGCCTTGGTGGGAATCGGCCGGTGTGATAATAAAAAAAATAAATAATAATTTATGTATCATAAATGAATGTATAATTGACATATTCTGTGTAAAATATTTGGTCATTCTAGATAAGCAATGAGTCTGGCCAGTAAATATATGGGTGAAGTATGGATGGAAACTTATGACAAGCCATGACAGGATTCTTCTACCCAAGAGAATACACTTAATACTCCACTCCAGCTCTAGCTCTGTCTACGCAATATACCTACAACAGCATCTCCTTCCCCACTACACCTCAGGACATTCTTGAAGCCTCCTTGTTATCTTGTAGCTCAGTGAAAGTGCCTTCAATAGCACCCGGATGAGTTACAAAGTATGAGAAAGTTTTCTAAACAAAGGGAAATAACAAATACATACACTAACATTTGTTGTCACTGTTACTTAGCAATAACTAGATGTAGGAGTTAGTCGACTGTTGTGGGTTGTATCAATGGAAATAAGCGGAACTGCTTAGTCAGTGTGTGATATTAACCCTCCAGTTTATCTGAGTTATTACCTCCAGGGTTAATAACCCAAATGAAGTCTTCTTCATCGCATGATAATACATTTCATTACATAATGTACGAAACTCATCGTGTGTGATAGATAGCAGAAATATAACTAGCCTTTCTTCCCAACATGTAACTGTCAGAGAGAGTAGGGAAGCAGCACACTGTTGATGTACCCGGTAGTATTTTTAAGTAATAAAAAAAAAGTGTCTCCTCACTGCCAACAATGATCTCCAAGCACTAACCTATGTTGCTACCTTGTTTGTCTGCCTGTGTCTTCCCAGGTCCTCCTCGTGATGGTTATCTCACTGGTGTGTTCATGCCACAACTACTCGTCTGTGTGGACCTTCTGACGCCCATAGAGAGATGTAGCAGCCACTGACACTAGTGTCAATTGAGGACCTTGGTAGATCCTTATTACTAACCCTTGTTGCTGGTGGCTGCCTCAGTAACAACAACACTGGCTCAGCTGATCAATCTTCACACTAGTCATGGAGATACACAATAAAACATTAATATATCGCTAGCATTTATTCTGTCTAACGTGTTTATAAGTATGTCGATTTTTCTTTATCGCTTGGATAATAATTTCTTTTATTAATTTCGAATGTGAAAGTATTATAAGATACTTCCATTTTTACCTCTCGTTGTAAGGAGAGTAATTCTCAATCACAGAAAATTGAGATGAAAACATACTCTGACATTTTCTGTGATGACGCAGTCCAGAGGTTCATGGTAAGCTTTAGTAAGTAAGTGTACTCACCTATTTGTGGTTGCAGGGGTCGATTCACAGCTCCTGGCCCCGCCTCTTCGCTGATTGCTACTAGGTCCTCTCTCTCCCTGCCCCATGAGCTCTATCATACCTCGCCTTAAAACTATGTATGGTTCCTGCCTCCACTACATCACTTTCTAGGCTATTCCATGGCCTGACTACTCTATGACTGAAGAAATACTTCCTAACATCCCTTTGATTCATCTGAGTCTTCAACTTCCAATTGTGACCTCTTGTGTCTGTGTCCCATCTCTGGAACATCCCGTCTTTGTCCACCTCGTCTATTCCGCGCAGTATTTTATATGTCGTTATCATGTCTCCCCTGACCCTCCTGTCCTCCAGTGTCGTCAGGCCGATTTCCTTCAACCTTTCTTCATAGGACAATCCCCGTAGCTCTGGGACTAGTCTTGTTGCAAACCTTTGCACTTTCTCTAATTTCTTGACGTGCTTGACTAGGTGTGGATTCCAAACTGGTGCTGCATACTCCAGTATGGGCCTGACGTAGATGGTATACAGAGTCTTAAACGAATCCTTACTGAGGTATCGGAACGCTATCCGTAGGTTTGCCAGGCGCCCGTATGCTGCAGCAGTTATCTGATTGATGTGCGCCTCAGGAGATATGCTCGGTGTTATACTCACCCCCAGATCTTTTTCCTTGAGTGAGGTTTGCAGTCTTTGGCCATCTAAACTATATTGTGTCTGCGGTCTTCTTTGCCCTTCCCCAATCTTCATGACTTTGCATTTGGCAGGGTTAAATTCAAGGAGCCAGTTGCTGGACCAGGCTTGTAGCCTGTCCAGGTCTCTTTGTAGTCCTGCCTGATCCTCGTCCGATTTGATTCTTCTCATTAACTTCACATCATCTGCAAACAAGGACACTTCTGAGTCTATTCCTTCTGTTATGTCGTTCACATATACCAAGAACAGCACAGGTCCTAGGACTGACCCCTGTGGAACCCCGCTTGTCACCTCGTCGCGTACCATGACTCGTTGTTGCCTCCCTGTCAGATATTCTCTGATCCATTGCAGTGCCTTTCCTGTTATGTGTGCCTGGTCCTCTAGCTTTTGCAGTAACCTCTTGTGAGGAACTGTGTCGAAGGCCTTCTTGCAGTCCAAAAATATGCAGTCGATCCACCCCTCTCTCTCTTGTCTTACTTCTGTCACCTTGTCATAAAACTCTAGTAGGTTTGTGACACAGGATTTTCCTTCCCTGAAACCGTGCTGGTTGTCAATTATACACTTGTTTCTTTCCAGGTGCCCCACCACTCTCTCCTGATGATCTTCTCCATGACCTTGCATACTATACACGTTAGTGATACAGGTCTGTAGTTTAGTGTCTTCAGGTAAGTAAGTTTATTCAGGTACACACAGGTGTATATTAAGATAAGTACAACTATCATATAAATTACCTAAGACAACCCAAAAAAAGGTCACTGTTCACTCCACAGTTTTACGCTTTTACGGTCTATTTCACAATTATACACTGATGGCAATAAACACATCTTAACAAAAATATTAATGTTATGTTGTCCAGAAGAGACCTTCTGCAATTATTACACGGAAATCAATTGTTAATAAAATCAGCAAAAGGAAAAGTGAAATAAATGGGAACATTCCTTTAAACAAAATTTACCATCGTTCAAAGTTTGATGCCACTCCAACGAGTCATTCTTCAGTTATTGCTTGGGGTTCACAGGTGCCAAATTTATTAAGTGTGTCAGAAAATTGTGAAATCTACATCTACGAAGAGCTAACTTACTGGGAAGATGCGTCAGTCTTTAAATATTAAAGAAGTCCAAAGAGATATATTTCAATTATTTCACAGATAAAAAATCAGAATTTTTAAAAAATTAAAAAATTGTGACCTAAACACTTCATTAACACTCCCAGACTTCTTCTAAATAGAATGCCATTAGTGTTATAAGTTTAAAACCGATCAAACGAAGTAATAAAAATCCTAAACTTCTCTTAAGATATATCAGTGCTGAAAGTCTGTAGCCGATCAGATGAGGCATTCCCGAGTAATATTTAAGGAAATGAAAAATCAGGAAGTCTGCTGACATGTCTGTACATGCCAACACACTTAAGAGTACATCAGGGTTGAAAATCTGAAAATGATTAGACGAGGCGTTCTCAATTTAAAACGAAAAACTTGGAAGAGTGATAATTCGAAGAATCACTTTCTAGTGTTCTTCCCAGGAGACCTCAACAAAAGCTACAGTGAACAAACAGTGTTACAACAGACACAAGTCACCACCAGCACACACCAACAACAAGCAACAGTAACAAACAATAAAAAAAAATTACTGACGACTCCGGTATAAACTCTCACAAAAATTCCTCCTTGTTTAGTTAGGATAATTAAGGAAGTGGGAGGAGGAGGTTGGAAGACCATGGGGCGGTGGAAGGAGAGGGGGAGGGATGTCATTACCAGTCGACTGTCAACGGCTTAATTACTCTTTATCTCCTTCCTTCATCTTCTCCTCTCTCATTCCATTTCCCTTCCCTCTTCCGTTTCTCTCCCTTCCTTCTTACCATCTCCTGCCCCTTCCTCCACCCTTCCCTTCTTCCTCCCCCTTTTCCATATTTCTTTATCTACTACCCTTCCCCAACCTCCTCCTCCTCCTCATCTCTTTCTTTCCCTCAGTTCTTGTCATCTCCCTCCATCGTCTCTCGCTTTATCCACTACCTACTTCTCTTCCTTCCTTCCTTCCTTCCTCCCGTCTTTGCACATTTCCTTATATTTTTGCATTATTCTCAACTTCGTTATTCACTGCTCGCTGTCTCCAGCTTCCTTCCTTCAGCTACAGCTTCCTTCTTTCATCTGCAACTTCCTTCCTTCATCTGCAGCTTCCTTCTTTCATCTATAACTTCCTTTCTTCATCTGCAACTTCCTTCCTTCATCTGCAGCTTCCTTCCTTCATCTGCAACTCCTTCCTTCATCTGCAGCTTCATTCCTTCAGCTGCCGCTTCTTTCTTTCCTTCATTCATCAATTTTTTTTCCACATCCTACTCATTTCTGAATATTTACATCTTGCTTATCCCTCCATCCCGTCCCGTCATCCATCTACTCATGACAATAAACTGACTCCAACACACCGGCACTCTCCCAATGAGGTAGGTCGACGCGACAGTGAAATCACATTCACCTCGAATCAGTCACTGTCTTTCCAGAAGCATGTTGACATTACTGTTCAGATGAACCTCTGAACTACAACATCCTCCTCCTCCTCCTCCTCCTCCTCCTCCTCCTCCTCCTCCTCTTCCTCCTCCTCCTCCTCCTCCTCCTCCTCCTCCTCCTCCTCCGGGGCTCAAGTCCGGCTGACCGGTGTTTCCTGAATTCATGAGTCCAACAGCACGCCATGTCACTAAGACTGCTGCTTGCCTCCACTCCGATCCAGCACGCTCATACTAGTCCAGCACTTATCCACTTAATATAATTCATAGTCTTTCATTCATTCGTTTAACTATTGTACCTTAAGCCACCCTTAAACAAAAACAAGTTTTATTTCTTATAAGAAAAAGATATGTAAGTAAACAAACTTTCATTGGAGGAAATTAATAATCTTGTAATGACACGAAAATCACTCACTACGAAAGCAAAAGACTTGGCAGACGATGCAACATCCCCCCAATGAAAAGCAGGGGTGTCACTAGCACGTTAAGAGACCATACAATAAGTGTCAGGGGCCCGAGACTGTTCAACTGCCTCCCAGCATACATAAGGGGGATTACCAACAGATCCCTGGCAGTCTTTAAGCTGGCACTGGACAAGCACCTAAAGTCGGTTCCTGATCAGCCGGGCTGTGGCTCGTACGTTGGTTTGCGTGCAGCCAGCAGTAACAGCCTGGTTGATCAGGCTCTGATCCACCAGGAGGCCTGGTCACAGACCGGGCCGCGGGGGCGTTGACCCCCGGAACTCTCTCCAGGTAAACTCCAGGTAAACACGGAAAAGATTTGAACTCACAAATTCAGTGTCTACTCCGGTATGGAAGTATTGGTTTTAAGCGTCTGATGTATCGTTTTGGCCTCTTATAAAATATATCAAGCTGTGTGGAGAGAGGGTCCCTGGTCTGAGTAAATATTCCTCATCATAAACTGTCAGGTTGATTTGATTTGGAAACTCTGTGAGCATTTCCTTGACACGCTCTACTGCAGTAACATCTGGAAACTTGCCAATGTGCATATCGTAGTTGAGAAGCACATCTTTATACTGGGACAGTTCAGAGCTCGTAACTAGATCGAGAAGGTGAGTACGTGTTATCCACGTGATATCTCCCTACTTGGCCAGCTTCACCTTTGTGACTTGGCCTTTCTTGGCTCCTGAAATTCTCAAATAATAAAAAAATTATTTTTGAACAGGCCCATTCTCAGAGTCCGGGTCTCTAGGAACAAGTGATGGTAACTTCCCAAGTACACAATGATCCATTCTCCTGTTTAATAGCTTTATCTTCAATCAAAAAAACGTGTGAAAGAGTGACTGAGCAGCCAAGAAGATGGACTCACATGTATCTCCTTGAATTAAACATTAACAGTGTATTCCGCCTCCATTTAAGTTACAATATGAAAATTTTGTAATATAGTGATGATGAACCCGATACTGTCATTCTGCAGGTGATGAGAAGTAGTGATGATGAGTAGTGGTGATGAGAGGTAGTGATGATGAGTAGTGGTGATGAGAGATAATGGTGATGAGAGGTAGTGATGATGAGTAGTAGTG